CTACTCCAATACGGGGGACAAGAACTGCTAAAAGTTCAATGTGAAGAAAGTTATAACAATTTAAAGCCAAAAAACCAGCGCTCTGCAAAAAATCGGTCCGCGATTTCTTAGAGACGGTCCAACGGGGCGATTTTTTACCGCCGTCAACTTTGAAAGAAAGTTCAAGTACACGTTGGAAAGCTCTAACTTCTTCTTCAACCCAGGGGGACAAGAATTGCAAAAGGTGGAATTTGAAGAAAGTTATAGCCATTGAAAGCCAAAAAACCTGGTCTTGCGAAAAAAACGGTCCAACGGGGCGATTTTTCGAAGGAAAGAGTTTTTGCAAAAGCTTGAGCACTTTTTAGAAAGAAAACAGTCTGAGCTTTCCAAATTTTCTTACCGCTCCTCATAGTTCCTTCTTTGAAGAAAGTTACAACCTTTCAAATGAAGAAGTGCACATTTCTGTAAATTCTTTGTTTTCTACCCCATAACCGACGTACTTTTGAAGATAAGGCATAATAGATGTGATCCTTCTGAAACAAGCAGTTTGTAGATTACAAATCTACTTAGCAATTTGAAAAATATTGATATTGAACAAAATTACGCTTATTTGAAAGTCAATAGTCTGTTTCTCGCGACCCGCGCTGCGCCGAGGGGGAAGATTGCGCGCGCCAATGCGAACGCAACGCTACCGTGCTCCGGTCGGACACTTCTGCTGTATACTCTCACGCTCTGAGATGCGCCATGCATTCGTTTGCAACTTGAAATCATTGTGAATATCCCCTTTTGATGCGTTTGCATATCGATGGAAATTTTTGTGATTCTGAACGCCAAGTCATGAAAGGCAGGCAAAGCGCCATTCAAACTAATGGGCAGTACTGTTCAGCACCTAATAAAGGCAATCCGTTTTGCGATGTTATGCATAAGTAAATTACCGGATATCAGGAAACTAGAGTTCGTCTGCTACTGTGTTTGAATTCAAGCCAAGTGTCCTTAGATATTTTGTAGATTGCACTTACTTCCCCTAGTGTTAGCTTTTCCTTACAGTGTACCGTACATAATAAGGGGGGGGGGTCGTATGGAGACTCTCGAAGAGGGGGGGGGTCGTAAAAATCCTGAAATCGGTCCAACGTGACGGTTGACCCTGGTTACGGCAGCGTCGAACTATCGCTCAAAAAGACCTATGAGGGCCTTTCCTGACTTTGCGTAGTCCGTTCGTCAATGAACGTGCGCTTGGCACATTTGTGAGGTTCTCGCCACTTCTTGGTATAATTGCCCAGTGTACGAGCTAATTACTTGGACCATTTTTGAGTGCTTCTGCTCATCACTGATAATATAGCTCTGGAAGCTCTCCATAGCAGGGAGAAGCTGAACAATGGTCTCAACAGTGCGGCACCTTTCAAATCAGCCGACCACCACTGTGACCGCTCACCTGCTTTACCTGTGTTTGATGACGTGCACCTAATCGTAGCATCAGATTTCAAGAATGGGTCGTCGTTAACTACAATTCTTTCGTTTGCAGGGTCGAGTAGGGACAATCTGATCAACACCGTCTACAAACTGCATCGGACACGATTACGAATATTGGAGCCGTATCGGTTGGTAATGAAGGTTTTGAACCTTTCTCTCTCAAAAAAGCACTGAACCTGATCTCAATTTCATTTCTTCAAAAAATCGCTCGTATGAATTTTCTCGTCTAAATGAGAGCTTTTGGCGGAGAAATGTAACGCTCAAGCTTCCCAGTGACTCTAACTATCTTCGAATATGTAGTTTCGAAGAGAATCGCTCTCCTGGTTTTTTTCCTGCGGAGGTTATTGAGCGATATTTTTGACAACGAGAGTTTCCATGCTTTCAATGAGGATAACTTTTTTTTGAAAATAGATCTCGTGAATAAAGGTAAGCATTATTAAATTTGAAACATGCTTACTGATGAGCGTGGAAGTTTTCTGAGAACTTACCAAATCAAGAACATTTTTTCAACAATATTTTCTCTTGACCCTCGACAGATCAATCGACCCAATTACATTCTTTCCGGTTTGTTAGATCCACAACCAAATGGATTCCTCCCACTTGTAGTAAATGAAATCGGAGGATTTGGTCGCCAACATTCTGTTTTTTTTTTGTGATACACCAACATTCGCTAGTGGTTCAAGGTCGCGTGTGTCGTTCACTAGGACAGAAGCGACTTTTGCGCTTTTCGCAGCGCGAAGCAGCTTTACTCGCTGTAGGAACCTCAGTCCACCTCTGATCATGACTGGACCTGAGGTTCCTGCAGCGAAAAAAGTTCCGCGCTGCAAAATGCGAAAAACTCGCTTTCTGTCCTATTATACCACACCCCAAGGTCGCGGAGACCTTTAGAAGTGCGTTCCTTTTAGCGGTGGCCTTGTAGAAGCCAGCCGTGATCTTTGTCCTGTCAATGTAAAAGGCTAAGTCATGCCTAGTTCCCTGTAAAGTGTGTTGGCCACTTTAAGCTGCTTCCCAATCTTCTTATGACCTCATGCGATGCTTTCGTTTCACTCCTTCGATATGCAAGGAAACAGACCTTTTCTGCCTCAGGCTCAAGAATTCACATGCTCAAAAAATCGGAAGCTCCAGAAAATTTCATAGAAGCGGTTTCTTGAAAAAAAAAATTCAGGCTACTTTTGGTTTTTGGAAAAGAGAACGAATCTTCCATGTTTCCATGCTGCAGTGCAAAAGACCACATTCGAAAGAACTTATGAAAAAATAGGAAGAAGAAAGAAGATTGCTGGAAAGAATATAGCTATTAAATGATTCCAACGAAGGAGTGAGAAATGTCGCATCGAGACATCCTCAGGACAGGGAGAGGGGTCGTGAAACTTCCCAGATGCCTTGTGTGAGCCTGTGCTGTAGCAGCGGATTTGATCGCTTGGCAATTCATCAGCTTTGAGGGCACTGATTTTGGCATTACGATGAGTTTGATTCACTACAATTGCCTGTGAAACACGAAAATAGTGTACCGGTTGAGAACGTAGTCTGGTGCTAAGTGGGTCTCGTTGCCACGTGGAAGTTTCTAAATACGCAGCCATCGGCGGATAAGCCTTGGAGGAGCAGACGAGCAGAGCGCCGCGCCGCTGCAACCTACTTAGCACCCGTAGTCTTTTTTTCCGACCCACAATGTTCAATGTACATGCATGAAGAATTGAATGAGTCATCTTCTCCGGGAGACGGTCAATTCAATCGTCGCCCAATGGCCGATGTCAGACTTTGCGATTGGGGCGATTTTGC